GCAGGCAGCCTGGCGCAGCACGGGTCCTTCCAGCTAAGCCCCGTGGCCAGGAGGGTGAGGTACCCGCTCCGCTGCTCAGACCTGGCTCCGTGCTGAAAGACTCTCACCTACTCGGTTGCTCTACATTGTGTCTCTTTTGATATCTGGGGCTTTCTGTATTTAAAGGTTTATTTTATTTATTTATTTATATTGGGAAAGCAGATATACAGAGAGAAGAAGAGACAGAGAGGAAGGTCTTCCGTCCGATGATTCACTCCCCAAGTGGGCACAACAGCCAGAGCTGCGCCAAGCCGAAGCCAGGAGCCAGGAACTTCCTCCAGGCTCCCATGCGGGTGCAGGGTCCATCCTTGACTGCTTTCCCAGGCCACAAGCAGGAAGCTAGATGGGAAATGTGGCCTCTGGACTCCCATATGGGATCCTGGTGTATTCAGGGCGAGGACTTTAACCACTATGCTATTGCACCGGGTCCCAAGATTCATTTATCTTTTAGAATCTTAGAGGACCAGCACGATGGCTCATATGGCTGAATCCTCACCTTGCATGTGCTAGGATCCCGTTGGGACATTAGTTTCTGTTCTGGCTGCTCCACTTTCCATTGAGCTCCCTACTTATGGCCTGGAAAAGCAGTGGAGGATGACCCAAAGCCTTGGGATCCTGCAGCCACATGGGAAACTTGGAATAAGCTCCTGGCTATTGGCTTCAGATCAGATCAGCTCACCTGTGGCCTTTGCGGCCATTTGGGGAGTGAATCAGTGGGCGGAAGTATTCCTCTGTCTCTCTTCCTCTCTGTATATCTATCTTTCCAATAATGAATAAATAAATCTTAAAAAAAAAAAAGAATTGCAGAATCACAGAGAAAGAAGGAGAGATTGAGATCTTCCACGCACCGGTTCAATCCCCAAAATAGCTGGAGCTGGCCGTGGCCTGCCTCCTCCATCCCGGCCTCTGTGTGAGCTTGCGCCGCCCGGTGTGCCTTCGCAGGGACATTAGCAGACGTTATGGTGAATGTTGAGGTTGGCAAACTAAAAGATGGATCAGGTAAAAGTAGTCTCGAAAGTTCATTTTTTTTTTAAAGATTATGTATTTAAAAGGCAGAGTTAGAAGGAGCAATAAGAGAGACTTATCACTATTGGCATAGTTAAAAGTAACCTCCCAAACTGTAAAGAACATAGGACAAGGAGGGGTAAGCTAAAAAAAAAAAAAGTCAGTGTACCAAGAGGCAAATAATTGGTTTGCCCAGAAAGGAAGAACCATGCAGGTGTATTTTCAAGGTCTAGATACACAGGGTGACCGCAGTGTCACTAACAGGCAGCATTCTGCCTCCTGTGAAATCTTGGCAAAACTGCTTTAGGTCCCAAGGTGGCAGACAAGATTTGCCAGTCCAAATTCCAGGTGGCCGACTCCGGGTTGAGGGCCCACGGTGACATGTCACATGCGTTCCCTGGGTGTTCTCGGCATCCTTGTGGGCCAGACAGCCAGAAGCATGCCCACCCAAGAGGAGAGGTGATCTGGGCTTGGCACAGCCGACCCTGCTTGCACACTCCTGCCCTAAGCTGCCCTCAACACACCAAATGCCACTCCCTACCCGCAGGATTCAGACTCACAATCCAAAAAGCCAAGTGTTTACTCATTTATTTATTTGAAAGGGAGAGCCTGTTAGCATATAGATACAGGTTCACCAAAAACCCACTCCCAGGGGAAAGGCAAAAGCTGGGAACTCTGGGAGGGTCTTCAGGGTGACAGGGCCGCAGCTATTGCAGCCGCCATCGCAGCCTCCCAGCACATGGCCAGACAAGCATGGCCGGGACTCGGAGGTGTTGCCAGCAAACCTTGGTGGGTTCTTTTCTAAGGTTAGTGTAGAAATAAAAAGCTGTGAAACAAGTGCAAACATAACAGAAATCTTTATTCAAAGCAAAGCAATAGGAAGGCCCTGCCCCACAGAGAAGTAGGGAAGTGGAGTGTCCGACTGGACACTGGCTTTAGGGGAAACGGCTTGGGCTTTTGTACGAGGGGGCCCAGGGGTCTGGGCTGACAGAGGTGTCTTGAATGAGAGTATTCAAGCGGCTGTCTTGTCCTATTCTGGAAGCATGGGCTGCAGCGTCCCTCTCTCTGGATATGGGCAGAGAGGCTCCCTCTGCCTTGATGGTCTTGGCAATTCCAAAGTCTTGCTTTGCACAGCCAGGGCATCTAGTAAATGCAGAGAGTGACCTGTGGTGTGGGGGTCAAGAATTGGGGGCCAGGGTTCTCTTCTCCGAGGCCCTGGACCCGGCTCTGAGGGCCAGTACTCCTGTGGCATGTGGGGTGCCAAGCAGCTTTCTAACCTCTGCGCCCAACGCGCACCCCAAGCTACTAAATATTAAAATCTCTTTAACCACAGCCACGCTTGTCGTTTTTCTTGCTGATCGCGCAGCTGCAACTACGTGAGGAAGAGTTCCTTGACTCTGCTGGTGATGTCACCACAAGGGGCGGGGATATGCAAATAAAGCACGGAGATAGCCGGTTTTAGCCGTTTTCCTAAGGCAGAATTCGAGCAAATCTCCAAAGAGAAACTGTAGCTTGATCCGTGTCACGTGGAATATCCTTCAGCTTATAAATTAGGACTTAAAACATTTGAAATGCAATTGATCATGACTAAAGTGTGTGTTGATGAAGAGGGTATGCGAGCAGGCAAGCTGAGCAACTCATACTTACCTGGCAGGGGAGATACCATGATCACGAAGGTGGTTTTCCCAGGGCGAGGCTCACCCATTGCACTCCGGGTGTGCTGACCCCTGCGATTTCCCCAAATGTGGGAAACTCGACTGCATAATTTGTGGTAGTGGGGGACTGCGTTCGCGCTCTCCCCTGATATTTTGGTGCAATGGTAGAACTAGCTCCTTGTGTGTTTGGCTGAATCTTTTGATAGCTATGTGGTTTTTGGTTGTTATTTTAGGCTTTGTGTCAGATGCATGTGGAGAGCGAAATCGTAGATACACCCGTAGGTGGGTTACAATGCGATGTTTCACTCCCCCCTCCCTTTCACATGTGTGTGTGCAGAGTTCCAGCGTGGTTTCCCAGACCCAAAGCAGGGAACTGCCAAGAAAAGGTAGCAGCCAGGACTTGAGTGTAAAGGAGGGCTATAGCCAATAAGTTGCTGCACCGAGGGTTTTTCTTTCTCCTGTTTATTTTTAAACCGGTTTCACAGATGAAGAAATTGAGTCATATTAATATGGAGTCATTTCTATGGGGAGGTAATAAAGCCAGAACTTTGAAGTCTGGACTAGGAACCCAGCCCACTCCTTTATACTGCCCACACACGTGTGTGTGTATATATATTTTAATATTTTCAATATTTGCTTTTGTATTTTTGTTGGAAAGGCAGACTTACAGAGAAAGGGAGAAAGATCTGTGTGTCATTTTACTACCCAAATGGCCCCAACGGCCACAGCAGAGTTGATCTGAAGCCAGGAGCCAGGGATCTTTCTCTGGGTCTCCCATGTGGGCACCGATGCCCAAGGCCTTGGGCCATTTGCTTTCACAGGCCAGTAGCAGAGAGATGAATGGGAAGCGGACCAGCTAGGATCCAGCTGTCCACATGGGATTTTAGTGGATTCCAGGAAAGGATTTAGCTATCTAACCATCACGGTGGACCCGTACCCCATTCTTACATGTGTAATGGCTGCATTGTGTTCTGGTGTTTAGATTTTAGGCTCCCGCATGATGGCTCAACTGGCTAATCCCTCGCTTGCAAACACCAGCATCCCTTGTGGGCGCCAGTTCGCGTTATGACTGCTCTGCTTCCCACCCAGCTCCTTGCTTATGGCCTGGGAAAGCAGTCGAGGGTGGCCCAGAGCCTTGGGACCCTGCACCCACATGGGAGATCTGGAAGAAACTATTGGTTTGTCTACGGCCATACCACCCTGAACGCGCCCGATCTCGTCTGTTCTCGGAAGAAACTGTTGGTTCCTGGTTTCAGATTGGCTGAGCTCTAGCTGTTGTGACCACTTGGGGAGTGAATCAGTGGATGGAAGGTGTTTCTGTTTCTCCTTCTCTGTAAATCTGCGTTTCCAATAAAAATAAACATCTTTAAAAAGAGAAGTTTCTGAATTGTCCTATTGACACGATAAAGTCATATTTCTAAGTTTGCAGCATGCTAGTCACTAATCTTTTGAGCTCTGAAAATACACATGAGTACAGTCAGTTTTTCAGTCTCATAAAGTTCCAGCATTTGTTTTCCTGCATCATTACAATTGGCCCTTTGTATCCATGGTTTCCACATTCACGGGTACAACCAACCAAATATTGAAAATTTTCCTTTTTTTTAAAAAAAATATTTTTATTGCAAAGATATACAGAGAGGAGGAGAGAGAGAGTGGAAGATCTTCCGTCCGATGATTCACTCCCCAAGTGAGCCCAACGGCTGGTGCTATGCCGATCCGAAGCCAGGATCCAGGAACTTCCTCCAGGTCTCCCACATGGATGCAGGGTCCCAATGCTTTGAGTCATCCTCGACTGCTTTCCCAGGCCACAAGCAGGGAGCTGGATGGGTAGTGGTGCTGCCGGGATTAGAACCGGCGACCCATATGGGTTCCCGGGGTGTACAAGGCAAGGACTTTAGCTGCTAGACCACCGCACTGGGCCCCAAATATTGAAAATGTTCTTGAGAAATAGCATCTTCACCATGTGTGTACAGATTTTTCTTGCACTATTCCGAATACAGTATCATAAAACAACTATTTGTATATTATTGCCATCCTATTAGATATTTTAAGTAATCCTGAGATCATTAAGGTAGAGGGGAGACTGCATATGGGCTGTGCACAAATGCTGAGCTGTACGTAGTGTGCAGGGACTCGTAACCGTGTGTTGGGGCAGAGGCGGGAGCTCTGGAGCCAGGTCTGTGTGGACACCCAGGGATAACTAGCAGCAAAGCAGGGTGAGTTCCAGACCGGAGGGAGTGTAAGATTTTTCACTGTGTTTCTAGCTGCAAGAATGAACACACTGCTTCCTTTTGAAACAGGATGTCACGGGCGGTTCATCTTCCAGTCCCCTGTCCTGTTCAGCTTGGTAGCTTGAGGAACGACTCCTTGGAAGCTCAGCTTCATGAGTATGTGAAACAAGGGAATTACGTGAAAGTCAAGAAGATCCTCAAGAAAGGTATGTCCTACATAGATGTGACAGAAGCACCTGGCCCCGCATTTCTGAGTCGAGCAAAACCAGGGGCAAGGTAGAGCTCTGAAGGAGTCCTGGGGGCGAATCCAAATGGTAAATTGAGACACACTAGTCATACTGCTCACTAGTAGCCTTTTAAATTACTCATTTAGAATTATTTTATTTACTTGAGAGAGTTACAGAAAGAAGAGAAGCTAGAGAGAGATCTTCTATCCCCTGGCTCCCTCCACAAATGGCTGTTATGACCAGGGCCAGGCGAGGCTGGAGCCAGGAGCTTCTTGGTCTCCTACTCTCCCACGTGGGTGGCAGGGGTCCAGGCATGTGGGCCATCTTCCACTGCTTCTCTCAGGTGTGTGTGAGGGGAGCTGCATCAGAGCTGGAGCTGCAGTAATGGGCACCCAGATGGAGTGCTGATGTTGGTAGCTCTAGCAGGTGGGCAACAATGCAGGATCCTCCTTAGAAGTCTCACTGCTAGGAGCTAGAAGCAGACGTTGCCCCTACCCCTGCACAAGTGGGATGTAGGATTCAGAGAGGGGAGTCTGAGACCCTCTACGCCTGTTGAATTCTTGACTACACCTTCAAGTGGGTGACACAGCATTGCCTACCCATTCCCGACTGGTTAAGAGACCAACAGTGGGGAACCTTTCGCCTGTAGGTTCCCGCCCAACAAGGAGTGGTCAGGGAAAGCTTAAAACCCTGAGACTCCTCCTCAAACCTTTGGTGTCTCTCTCCTTTCAAGAGGTATCCCACGTCCTGGCTTTCTTTCGCACTGGAGACCGCAGTGTAGCTGTTGTTGGTAAGAAGGCTGATCCAGTAGGTGGTAACTGGCCATTATTTGAACTAGAGCCTCGATTTTGGTCTTACTTTAGGAATTGTGTAAGGCCTTGAAAGGGTGTGAATTTTTTTTTAAGTGCTTGTGCTTGCTAAAAGGGTTATTTCCTAACACAAAATATGTGGTGTTTTCCAGTGCCGATTCCCTGATTATAACTGGGAAATTCACCATTCCATTCTTATGTTGAATTCTGGATTTAACATCAGGACTCGGTTCCCTAGGTCTGTCCTTACTTCAAATGTCAGCTACAACTGGGGCACCTAGTTCTCCCTGGCTGACTACAGACCCACAGGTTTCTAAACATCCTAAGGATGAAAATTTACTAGAATGACTCACAGAATTCAGAAAAATATTTCAGTTAGCATTACCAATTTGGGTTGTGACACAATATCCCAGCGTTAAAAGTACGCGCCTTGAATGCGCTGGGATCCCATATGGGTGGCAGTTCTAATCCCAGTGGCTGCGCTTCCCATCCAGCTCCCTGCTTATGGTCTGGAAAAGCAGTTGAGGACGGCCCAAAGCCTTGGGACCCTGCACCCACGTGGGAGACCCACAGGAAGCTCCTGGCTCCGGGTTCTGGATTGGCTCAGCTCCAGCCGTTGTGGCTGCTTGGGGAGTGAATCATCAGATAGAAGATCTTCCTCTCTGTCTCTCCTCTCTGTATATAGGACTTTGCAGTAAAAGTAAGATAAATCTTAAAAATAACTAATTAAATAAATAAGAAAGAGCAACTAAACAGTCCTGATTCTTCAGCTGAATCCAGAATGGAATGTGATAAAGGATTGAAACCCACTGTGGACAAGAAATTCAGCATTCCACTCGTGTTTGCTGTGATTGTTACTTGCTGTTAGGGATGTACACCCTTGCCCCGCCCCTCATGCCAGGCTAAGCCGACCTAGCTGAACTGCCCAGCAGCGACCCTGGGCCTCAGCCTTGTCTGGGCGGAACCGATGTGCTTGGGCGTGGCTGCGGGAGGCCCTATGCTAATGACACGGCGCTGCTTTGAGGCGATTGGGAACACTGAACAGTAAAAAGAGGGTTGGGAGTGTGTCCTGTCATCAGATTCATGTGCTCTATGCTAAAAAAACTGAAAACGAAAGTGGTCAACCTATCACAGGGTAAATTAAAGAAAAAAAAATAGGTCGTCTCGTCACCACTTAAAAGTGTGTGTTGGGGTTAGGCCCAGCAGGGTGGCACGTGCTGAGGTTAAGACTATACTTTCAGGGATCATTTCTATAGTCTGTGACTAGAGAAGTTTCTCTGATCGTGTAGAGCACCGAAAACCACGAGGAGGAGCTTTAGCATCCTCCCCTGAGCGTGAAGCTGGCTTTTGGTGTTGCTTTTGTGCAACTGCCACTTGCCCTTGATGATCGTTCTTCTCTCCTAGTAGGAGAGTTAGAGGGGGAGGATGCAATCTGAGTGGTTTTCTGTTTCCTGGTTCAGGTTTATGTTCATTCTGTGTTTTCGGTGTCCACGGGAGAGGTTTCTTGTCTTGAACCTTCTTCCTTTCTGTTCCTATTAAGGGGTCACATCTAAGTAATGACTTTTGGGAAGTGTAAGAACTTTCCATCCACTGGTTTGCCCCCTAACCTGTTAGGGCCTGGAGTGAGCTGATCCTAGGGGTTACTTCATGAGCTTCCACACGGGTGCAGGGTCCCAAGGCTTGGACCATCCTCAACTGCTTTCCCGGGCCACAAGTAGGGAGCTGGATGGGAATTGGGGCTTCCAGGATTAGAATTGGCGCCCATATGGTATCTCAGCATGTTCAAGGCAAGGATTTTAGCCCTAGGCCATGGCGCGGGGCCTCCAATAAATATATTTTAAAGCAAGATGTTGGCATTAAAGTAAGTGGAAAAATGAGTCACAAGAAAATATATTTATTAATTTACAGATTGTTATGTGATTAAGTATGTTTAAATGTAATGCATGGTATTAGGTTTATCTGAAGCAAAGAGCTTCTTACAGGTTTCCCAGGTGAGTGTAGAAACCCAAGGCTTTAGACCATCCTCCATTGATTTTCCAGACCGCAAACAGGTTGCTGGATGAGAAGTGGAACCAGTGCCTACATGTGATAGCTGTTCTCGCCAGGCGAGGATTTAGCCATTGAGCTTTTGTGTAGGGCCCAACAATAAATAAATCTTTTAAAATTCCTCATGCCCATATGTTTAAAAAATGTTTCTTTTTGGGCCCCGGCAGGGTGGCCTAGTGGCTAAAGTCCTCTCCTTGAATGCCCCGGGATCCCATATGAGCGCTGGTTCTAATCCCGGCGGCCCCGCTTCCCATCCAGCTCCCTGCCTGTGGCCCAGGAAGGCAGTCGAGGACGGCCCAAAGCTTTGGGACCCTGCACCCGCTTCAGAGGCCTGGAAGAGGCTCCTGGCTTCGGATCGGCATAGCATCAGCCGTTGCGGCCACTTGGGGAGTGAATCATCGGACGGAAGATCTTCCTCTCTGTCTCTCCTCCTCTATGTATATCTGACTTTCCAATAAATAACTAAGTCTTAAAAAAAAGGTTTTGTTTTTATTGGAAGGGCAGATTTACGGAGAGGGGAGACAGAAAAATTTTCCATCCTTTCATTCAATCCACAAGTGGCCGTAATGGCCAGAGGTGAGCCGATCAGAAGCTCAGGTCTTGCATATGGGTGCTTTCCCAGGCCTCAGTCAGGAAGCTGGCTGGGAAAAAGTGGAGCAGCAGAGATTAAAATGGGACCATGTGGAATCCTGGAGCATTCAAGACAGGGATTTAGCTGCTAGGCTGGGCTCAAAAAGCACCATTTTTACAATATCTCACCTGTTGGTTTTCAAAACTGAGAATCTTCACTGTTAAAAAAAAAAGCTGCCTCACAAGCTTTCTGTCATATTGAAGATTAGGAAAATCATTTGTATTTTTTTTTTTCTAGTCACACCCTTTGCTTTAAACTAATCTGGAAGTTTCTTTAGAGCCAGAAGACAGTTACTTCTGATTGGCTGTATGGCCTGTCAAATGTTAATTAGGGAACTTGATGCGATTGTTCTTTTTTTCCTTTTTTCACGCATTCTCGGAGCTGTTGGGAAAGTTCTTTTGAAGGTTATTTCTGAAACAAGACTTTGAGGATGTAACTGTGTGGGAATTCTAGGAGGTGAGCTGTGACGGTATCTCGCCACCACTTAAAAGTGTGTGTTGGGGTTAGGCCCAGCCGGGTGGCACGTGCTGAGGTTAAGACTATACTTTCAGGGATCATTTCTATAGTCTGTGACTAGAGAAGTTTCTCTGATCGTGTAGAGCACCGAAAACCACGAGGAGGAGCTTTAGCACCCTCCCCTGAGCGTGAAGCTGGCTTTTGGTGTTGCTTTTGTGCAACTGCCACTTGCCCTTGATGGTCGTTCTTTTCTCCTAGTAGGAGAGTTAGAGGGGGAGGATGCAATCTGAGTGGTTTTCTGACTAAAGTGTAACGTAGTAAGGAGAGATCCATGGTCCTTTTTTTTGATGTGACATTTGGAGCAGTTTTTGTCTTTTGATAGGTATCAAAGTTGGTGAACTTCTGTGCATAGCAGAGCCAGTTTTTGTTCCAGAGAGTACATTTCCCACCCAGTTTCTTTTCTGTGGCCTGGAAATGAGTCTTTAGACAGGAAATGCTAGTCTTTGTACTTCCCTCTCTTTTTGGTCTTAGAAAAGCAGGTGTTCTTTACATTTTACTTTATTATGCTGCTACTTTATTATGTTTATTATGTTGTGTTAGGATGTCCTAATTTCTTTATTCCCTCACTTCTCATCCTTCCTCCCTTTATATCTGTAATGTTTATGATAATATACTTTTAGGTTAGCCTGAGGTCACAAGCTTAATGTTCATTAAGTTCATCTTTATATTTTTGGTACTGTGTTTGTGTGATACTGTCACATAGTGGAGAAAACAGAATATTGGAACTGGCTTATTCACACTTAGTATATAGCGGGTTGCAGTTGTGTTTTGTTGAAAATGACAGTAGTTCATTTTTATCTGAGTAATACTTCATAGTATAAATATACCACATTTTATTTATTCTTTAAGTTGATGGACATATGTCTTACCCGTCATGGGCTACAACCGCGGTGGTTGTAAAGAGCAATGTCTCGACAAGGCAGTTATAAGAGTGACTACCCTCTCGCGTGCAATGGATAAGTCCTGCGAGGTGCAAG